TATTTGGCATAGATCACGGATAGCTTGCCAGGCTCTGCCGTGTGGGTTGGATATTTAAGGATATTTAAGGTATCCTGAAAATTATTAAATAAATAGTCGCGCTTGTTGTGATAATCTTTGGATCCTGGCCTTTGTTGGGGTTACACGGCAGTTGGAGGGTGTAACTGTCTAGCTACTGACAGGTCCAGTCCCAAACCGTGCAGGCTTAGAGATCTCAGTCCCGGGTCCCACACACCTGGGTTCCTCTGCCAGTTCGGTTATGTCTGAGGCTTATCCAAGTGTGTGGAGAGTGGCTCCAGTAAGGCCTTGGTTGGGGCCTGGAAGTCTTCAGCTGTTGGGCCCTGGCGAGGATAGTCAGACACAGGGTAGGAGACTCTGCCTTGTGCTCTCCCGGGAGCTTGTGATAGTCTTTGGATCCTGGCCTTTGTTGGGGTTACACGGCAGTTGGAGGGTGTAACTGTCTAGCTACTGACAGGTCCAGTCCCAAACCGTGCAGGCTTAGAGATCTCAGTATATATATATATATAAAAGATATATATACAGAATCAACATTATCTGAATATAAATACATATCTACAATGGGAATTTATGTTTATATGCAAATATTGGTAAGATTTTATAATTGACATCACATGAGTTTACAAGTTAATTATAATTCCTAAAGAAATAAGTCCTTAGAAACACCATCTTCTGTAAAGTCTTAATGTTTTTAATATCTTTTACCAATTAAATACATCTGAAAATCCCATTAAGGAGGGCAGAATAAGTTATGCCAGGGTAAGTTTTTCTTTTTTTTCTTTTCTTTTTTGACATTTTGGGTCACACTGGCAATGCTCAGGGATTACTTCTCCTGGCTCTGCACTCAGGAATTACTCCTGGCAGTGCTCAGGGGACCATATAGGATGCCAGGGATAGAACAGGATAGAACACAGATCGCCCATATACCAGAAAGTTTTACTTGAAACACAAGTTTTTAGAAGGTCTGGAGCGATAGCACAGTGGGTAGGGCGTTTGCCTTGCAAGCAGTCAACCCGGGTTTGATTCCCAGCATCTCATACAGTCGTCCCCTGAGCACCGCCTGGAGTAATTCCGTGAGTGCAAACCCAGGAGTAATCCCTGTCCATCAGGGCTGTGACCCAAAAAGAAAAAAAAAAAACCCACAAGCAGAAACCAAGGCGGGATGGGGGGTGGGTGGGAACACAAGCAGAAACCAACTAGAGATCTTATGCAGCTATGGTAAGCTTACTGTCAAAGAATGTCTGATTGACGGTCTGAAGACAAAAGCCCTTGACACTGGTGTTATAAGGAGCCGGAAGCTGCATTTCCAAGTCCAACCCGTGTGAAGCAGAATTTAGCGGAGCTGCAGCATCATACGCTGATGACCAAGCAGATGGGAGGATAGGACTTTGGGAGCTTGGAACTAGTAAGGTTGCACCAGAGAAAGAAATACCGGACCACCGGAAACTGGACACCTGGACTGTATTTTGAACCTCAGCAAGAATGGTGGTGGAATTTTATCCCCTCCAGCCCTTGGGTAATGAATGGAACTATGCAATCCCTGATAGATATGCAAAACTACAGGAGCCTCAGGCTACAGAAACCACATCTAATCACTAAAGTTCAGCAGAGAGGCTGTGTTAACTGGTGTCTAAACAGACCCAACCTGAGATATTAGGGACATGCACGTTTCCTGGGAACCCCTGAACATCTTCTTAGAGAAGGATTCATGTTGTCCTTAGACTAGACATTAAGTCCCAAAGATCTGAGTCGATTTTAACGCATGGCTGACCCTGTTCCCTACCCCTGCCTTAAGAGCTATGCTTTCCCAGGGGGTTGGAGTCAGAGTTTGTCTTTACGAATACAATGGAGGGGTAATTTAGGAATTACAACAGGACTGTCTAGAACTGGTAAAAATGCAGGGTGATGTTCCTACCGCACTGTGGTTAACCATGAAAATACATCTCCAGAGTTAAACAACTGTAGATACCCGTGGCTGGGCATTTGCCGTGAACTTAGCTCAGAAAGAAAAGGTTCACGGTGACGAAGTGCACGTAAATAGGCTGGGCCTTTCTACCCGACAATATTGTTGAGTCCTTTCCACTCCCCTCTCCCCTCCAACATATTAACCTTTCTCCCTTTACATATTCTAGGTCCTGAAAAAAAAATCTAACAACTATTCAGAACTAGAATCACACGAACATCTTTTGGAAAAACAAGGGCAATATCCCCAAAGGCTAAATTCTATGGCAATGATGAGAAAGCAAACTTCTTAGAATTCATTCTTCACACACTAGACATGAGGATCCTAAAATAATGAACATGAAATAAATATTGTAAATAAAGTCAATTTGATATATCAAGTGCATACAAATAGAGCATGGAAAATAAATGAAATAAAAAGGAGAATTCAGGAACAGAAGGTGCTTTTCTACGAAAAAGATTGAAATTATTTTTTTAAAAAAATCCAAACGAAGAATCTAGATATGAAAATCACAAGGTAGTAAATCAAAACTGTGATGCAAAGGATAAGAGAAGGCTAACAAGGGAAAATCAATTTAAGTCTAAGTTTTCAAAGCACCCATGTACTTATCGATATATTCCATATTTCAATTACCTCTCTCCACTGAAGACATCTTATGTGGTTTTATGCTTTCTTGGGTACATTCCAGATTCCATATTGATTCTAGTTCAATAGTATTCTATAGGATATTAACTGACTTTCCTGATGTGGGGATTTTCTTTTTAAAATATACTATGATAAAACTCCTTAAGAAACAAAAATTTGGATGCCTCTTCTAAATTTTTATAGCTTTATGTCATTTATTGTCATTGAAATGTGGGATAAGAGTTAGTATAAATTTAAAATGGAAAAATCAAACATTCCACATTTAGCTCAAAATACAAGTTTTATAAAATTTGACAAAAGATAAACTATGTTAGTATAACAATAGATAGAGTTCACTCTGAAGCGTGATATAAAGGTAAAAGGTAAAGGCCCTCCCGTTGATCGTCGATTTGCTTGAGCGGGTTAGTGTTTAACTTACCCAAACAAATTGGGATTGGATAATTCCATCTTCTCACTGGTCCAGGCATGCAAGTAATGTGAGAATGACCCTATGTAAACAACAAAACACAGTAAGAGTATGCGTTTTAAGTCTACGGTAAACACAGCATAGTGACTGACAATTGTGAAACAAACATATGTTGTCATCATAGTAGAATAAAAACATAGAAAGTTCCTGTTTGCAAAATTTAAAATTTTATACTTCAGTAATTATGGGGATGGGGGTGCACAACCGGGGTGCTCAGGGCTCACTTCTGCTCTACTTTCAGGAATCACTTTTGGAAGGGCTCAGGGGAACCTTTTTGGTGGTCAGGTCAGAGCACCCTATCACTGTACTATTGCTCCAGCTCCAATTTTCTTTGTGTGCAAAACATTTTTCTGTTTCAACCTGTTCTAATATGATACTGCCATGCTTAAATGGGTCTACATATACCATACAGTATAATAAATTACAATATGTAAGATGACCTACATTAAAAAAGTATTTCTTCATTAGCATATTAAATCAATTAGGCTACAATAAAGCAAATCTAAAGTTCAGAAATATATGATTATTCTGAGACTAATCATTTATGATATAACTGTTAAGGCTGTAAGTAATTTTTAATTCTGCAATCTCTGAGTAATTAACTAGCAGGTGAAATAACATTTTTTTGCTTTAATTTCTTAATAGGTGTATCCTTTAGGGAATACTTAAAAATACTACAAGTTTGAGATCCTCCCCCAAATCCTATGAAGGGATCAATAAATTAATATAGCCCAAAGAATCATCCCACATTACATGCTTAAACAAAACATATTTGAATTTAATATTTACAAATTTAGGGACTTTAATACCATGGATGTTGCATTTTAAATTTATGGTAGCACTTTATTGTTATTTTCAGATTTTAATTACACAGAAATTTAATTATTTAATTATTTATTGTGGACTGGAGCAATAGCACAGCGGTAGGGTGTTTGCCTTGCACGCAGCCAGTCCGGCCAAGCTGGGTTCGATTCCTCTGCCCCTCTTGGAGAGCCCAGCAAGCTACCAAGAGTATCTCGCCTGCACTGCAAAGCCTGGCAAGCTACCCGTGATGTATTCAATATGCCAAACACAGTAACAACAAGTTTCAAAATGGAGACATTACTGGTGCCTGCTTAAGTAAATCGATGAACAACGGGAGGACAGAGTTTGTTTGTTTTAATTATTGTGTTCTATAAGAATGGAAAAATAGTGACTAATTTTTATTCAAAAATTAATTTTCTTCTCTATTTATTTAATATTGGGTTTGGGGGCAATGATTGGTGGTGCTCGGGGTTCCGGTGACCACTGGGGTGCTGGGGATTGGACATGGGAAGCTGCAAGTAAAGTAAGTAACATTCTTTGTGTACTATTGCTCTGGTCCTAAAAATTATTTTTATTAGTTGAAACAAAGAACATCTAGTCAATGATAGTAATTTTATTATGTATCTATTTCATGGAAAATTTCATTATTTCTTTAAAAAAAATAGGTTAATGGTACAACTAAGGATTCCACATTGTTTTGTGGTAAATTATCCATCATTTGTCTAAAACTATTATGGAAAAGAAAGAAAATTCAAGACTGTAATTTAAAACTAGACTTACCTGGAGGGAATATCCTTGATCACACTGAAAGGACACTACATCCCCAACCATATACCTGTCTCCAACTTTAATTCCGCTGCTTGGAGTTTGTGGTTCAGGACAGGAATCCAAGCCAATTGCTATGGACATTTAAAGAGAACGGTGTAAGTCACTTTCAAAAGATTCAAGCTTGAAATAGGCATATTAAATGTCCCACATTTAATACCATTGCCATTAAATATAGATTTTATAACAAAACATTAAGAATGTTCTTTGAGCAAAATTCAATTATATATGCTATGAACAATGTACTTGGCACTCCATCTTAAAACAGCATTTAAACCATTTTTTTTTTCCGATTAATAACTTCTTTATTCTGGAAAAGCAAACGAAAGTCATATTCATATAAACACTGACATAACAAAGTATGGGGAAAAGGGGAAGGGAGAAGGAAACAAAAACCTCTACAAATCCTGCTAATACTGTCTCACCAAACAAGACCATAATGCTTTGTCCCATTTCAATCACAATAATAAACCACAAATAAAAATCTTCTCTGGAAGATACATTGCTCCTCTTTGAGATGGCAGGGAAAAGGGACCGGAAGTTGGGGGAGGAGGCTTTATTCTTTTGGCAGATCCTCTCAGTCATTATATTGCTGCACTGTTAATAAAAAATATATGCTTCTCTGTAAAGCATTAAAAAAAAAATCCAAGGATGAGATGGCTGAAGTTTCAGCTCAAGTATCTCCAAATACATTGTTGTCCATTCCCTGACCTTTCCATGTGTTATTTCTTGGTTGTTTTCCGGATCAATGCCATTCTCTGTTTGTGAGCTTCTGTGGTACAAGCTTTTTTGTAGGGTCGGATTTCTTCAGAGCCAAATCCTGGGATCCACATGTTCCACTGGCGCTCTAGATGAAGCTGGACATCTTTTACCTCCAGAGTGCTGGATTTGCGATGCCGAGCAAGTTGGCAGGCAGCTGTCACCACACTCTCGATAAAATCATCAGCAATCTGCAGCAGCATCTCTTCCACATCTTCGTCTAATTGCTCATTAGGATCCACTTCTCTTACTAAGTCTTGTAATTTCTTCTTGGTCAATACCTGATTGTTTTCAGGACTTAGTCTCCCTCCTGTCCCAGGAGTGCCTGGTATTTTTACTACTGTAGTACTATTGGCCATGGAGCCTTGTGGAGGGGTGCTGGCTGGTTCCGGTTTTATGGATGAGAAATTGGAGAGGTTGATGAGGGCTGAGGGGCCAAACTGGTTCATAATCTGTCGAGCTTTGGACTTCAGCTCATAGAGCTTATCAAGATCCTGTTTCTTTTTGGAGCTGTGAGGACCAAGGCCAATCAAAGGCAGCAGCGTCTATCTCCCCCTGATATGCGGAGACTGCCCCAGTGAAGCGTTCGTCTCAACAGCCGGTCGGACTCTTAAACCATTTTTAAGGCACCAAATATGAAATAGCTTTGTGATTAACTAAATATTACACTGCTATACTAAATGTATTCTACTATAAAATAAAATTCCTAAAGCTAATTTCTAAATATAATAAATTTTTTATTTGAAAAATGTTCTTTGTAAATTAATGAGAACATGCTATTTCATCCTTTGTCTTTCATACAGAACTTCTTTTTCACTTATGAGACATATTTTGGTATACTAAATGTAAATTTAGCATGATTATGAGTAATGTCATCACCTCCAAGACAGTATAATCAAAAAGGGGAAATAAAAACCTGCCAACAAAACATGGAGCTGAGTTCTGAAAAAATATTTATTTATGAAATAACTGAACTCAGTTATTTCTGAGAGCGATGACAACATTCAAAACACCTTCATTCTTGTCAACAATGTTCTTTTTGATGTAAAGAGTAAAAACATACTAAATGCAATAATTTTTCCTACAGTGATTCACTCAGAGTTGCATTTCCCTAAGTGGGAGATTTGCCCACCCTATAAATGGGTGCATTGGATTGAGGAGCAGTAATTGCCTCAAGGGTGGTTGGTCAAATCTTTATGCTTGTTCCATGAAGAAGACAAATATTCAGGAGTGTACCAAGTGGCTTTTTTCTCTAAAAAGGGGGAAAAAGCTTTGGAAACCTCTGATGTAGAGATTAAAAAAATGGTTTTGTTTTTGCCAACTTGTTTTTCAAACACTTGAATGTACCATTACCAAAAAAATTTAACAAAAACAATATTAATTATTGTATTTGTAATTTAAAATTTGGCACAAGGTATTTTAAATGGATGAAAGTTGTCACTACTCTAAAATTAGAATAAGCATATACTGATTTCATATATATCATATCTTCTTTCAGATATTTTCTTCTATGTTTCCCTTCACTTCTTACCTGTATCATTTCCCTCTCACAGTTCTAGTCCCTATATTTCCTTTGTGACACTTTTCATGGCCACAATGAATAAATGCATACATGATAGATTTAGCCACCTACCGTAAAAAAAAGGAAACTCTAAGGGTAGCTGAGAGGACAGTCTATTAAAGAAATATTCACTAATCATTGATTGTATGGATGAATAAGAGAATGAATCCTGGCTGTCATTACTTCCTGATCATCAAAAATATTATCTCCATAAATGGAAGATTTACAGAGTAAATTTTCAGAGTAACACAGTAGTGAGAATAACTAAAAGTCATACCAGTTATGCAACATGAAGGCTAAAATAATGGCAAAAAGTAGGGAGCTGATAGAGTTCTATAAAATAATGAGGTAGTAATATTGAAAATTTGGCTATTTGAAATACATTTTTTTTTTTTGGAAACTCCCCAGCAGTGCTGCAGGGGTTTGCTCTCTTCCAGGAGATATTTGGCTAATAGGACCAGATGATTCCGTGCATGGCCAGGGATGCAGCATCGCTTGGTTTCAGTGCACATGATATAGCTGATCAAATTTGTGTCCATATGCAAGCAAAGTAAGTGACCTGTTGGGCAACCTCCCGGGTTCCTAAAGACATCTGAAGTAGTCCTGGAGGAGAATGAAGGACGATAGACTCAAACTCTACAGTCCCCTGACTTAATAGGCTTCAGTTTCTAAACAAATGTTATTCCCCATATTTCTTGATTTTTAAAAAATAATCTTGAATTTATGAACCTAGTAAAAGTAAGTTACCATGAAATTGTGAGCTACTTTCAAAATTGCAACTGTTAAGGTTTCATTTCCCCCAGATTTTGAGATAGAAGGAAAGACAAAATGTGTCTTACATTTATTTGTGTTAATTTGATTTTATGCTCTAAACATGAACCTTATACAGAAAACTCATTTTATTTTATAGAGCTCTTTTCAGCAACTATTGGATATTTGAGAAAAGTTATTATATAAACATATAAGTATTGGCAATATGATTTCACCTTTCTTTGATTTAACCTTAGTTTCTTGAGACTCCTGAACAGAAAATTGACTAATCTTCAGTATTAAGGTCATTCTCACCGTCATTCTTACTGAGAAGGCTACAGTTTATATAGTTCATTTCTCTTCTCTCTCTCTCTCTCTCTCTTTCTCTCTCTCTCTCTCTCTCTCTGTGTGTGTGTGTGTCTTTATATTGAGTATTTGGAGTCACAGATTCTGAAAACTATTAATATCCAGAAATTTATCCTCCTCTAGGAAGAGGATAGATAAAACTATGTACAAAGATGCTGTAGAATACTGAGTTTTTTTACTTTAATTTAATTTTATAAAATAATTCACAATATTTATTACATTTAATATGCGAACACCAACCCCATCACATTACACCTTCCCACCATTATATTTTGCAGTTCCATCCTGAACTCCAACCCCTGCCCCAAAGCAGAACCGAAATAATTCATTTTCTATTGTTTGTTATGAATAAACCACTGAAAATGATCCCCAAAATTTCCCTCAGGAGAAAGTGTGTGAAGATTGTTGTATTTCACCCAGGGGCCATTAAGCCCTTCTATAAGCGATTACTAATATGCTTTTAAGGTTTGATTCTTGTGTGCTTAAATATATATATATATAATATACATATATATATATACACATATATATCTTTAAAAATATATTTCCCTCTAAGATTGGTTCCCTTCTACTTTAAACCTCATCAAATGTGGTGTGCTACACTTGGAGTATGGGTGGTATGTGAGGTATGAGATGTCCAGGAATAGGTTCACTCATGGGTGAGTCTCGGTCTGAACATGTGGAGAGCGGCCGTGAGCATAGTGGTGGTTGAGTTCTGGAGGTTTTTGGCTCCCAGAGTTGGTCCCCTGGGGTGGGGAGGGGCTTCACCCATCCCCCTCTGGGGCGCCCCAAATGAAACAACCTGGCATGGGGTTTGGAGAGCTTTGTTTTAAAGCCCGATTTAGAAGATAGATAGATAGATAGATAGATAGATAGATAGATAGATAGATAGATATGTACACATATAGATATATAGATATATAGGCAGAGAGAGTTTGTTTATTAAACAATTTTAACTTTAAAAATAAATTTTAAAGCTATATGAACTATGTAATGGCAGTTTTTTTAAGTTAAAAATTCTCATATATATGAGAATAATGGTCCAAAGGAAATCTGCAGCTATAATTTATCAGCAGTTGTGTATCTTGGTGAATGGGGATTTATGCATGTTTCAGAGAATATTTCTATGCATACACTTTTTTTTCCAGGCTGGAGTGATAGCACAGAGGGTAGGGCGTTTGCATGCAGCCCTCCAGGCTTCAATTCCTCGGCTCCTCTTGGAGAGCCCAGCAAGCTACTGAGAGTATCTCGCCCGCAGGGCAAAGCCTGGCAAGCTACCCATGACGTATTCAATATGCCAAAAACAGTAACAACAAGTCTCACAATTTGTTGTGAGATGTTACTGGTGCCTGCTCGAGCAAATCAATGAACAGCGGGAGGACAGTGCTACAGTGCTACATTTTATTTCCAAGGGCTATCCCAGGAGCATGGGCCTGTGGGCCTGATTGTATTCTGGTCCCATAATAAAGTGCTGGTTGGGAGATGTTGAGGAATACCAGAGCTATAAATGGCATCTCTAATGGGGTGCTAAGGACTGAACTTGGGGTTTTATACTTGAAGCATAAAATTTTCCACACCTGTGAACTATCTCGTTTGCTCTTTTTCTTTTTTTTTTTTTTTTTTTTTTTTTGGTTTTGGCCTTATCTGGTTGTGCTTGCTTCTGGCCCAGTGCTCAGAGAGCACTCCTGGGGGTGCTGAAGGGGCCCTATGCCATACCAAGGATCAAATCAAAAGCAAGCTCTTAAAGAAGTGCAGTTCTTTAGTTCGTTTCTCATATTTTAAATTAAGAATATAAATCATTATTTTAATCCTTAATTTTGTTTTTCTTTTCCCACAAAACTGTAAATGTTTATTTAAGAACTATACCACACCCATCACCAAAGTGTTACCATCCCTTAACTATATCATTGACTCTCTTCAACAAATAATTCAGCCACTGCTCACCTGCATTTAGTAACCTCATTTCTGTGGCCAATGTAAGGGTTTGCTTCTATTGCACTTGTTTTCCTAGCTTGTTTCTTTAGATACCATATACGTGTAAGACCATCCAGTTTTTGCTTTTTTCCATCTGATCTATTGTACTTAGCAATAGCCTCTTCAGCCATTGCATCCACGTTTTTGTAAAAGAGATTTAGGGTTTTTTTTCTTATAGCAGTTGTATTCCATTGTGTATATATACTACAACTTCTTTATCTATGTATCTCTTGTTGAGAGTTTGGTTTCTTCCCAAATTTTGGCTACTGCGACTTGTGCTACAGTAAACTTCAAAGGAGTGCACGCATTTTGGGGTGTTAATTTTCTGTGTTATTCAGATAGATACCTAACAAAGAATTTCCAGATCATATGGGTAGGTCTATTTTAAGTATGTTGAGACTCTTCAGTAATATTCTCCATAGAGTTTAGACCAGTTTGCCTTCAGCCAGAATGAATGAGGATCCTGCACTGTCAATTGCTGTTCCTATCCTTTTCCATATGGGGCTACGCTTGCTGTTATGAGAAAATATCCTTATATGATTTTATTTTACATTTCTCAGAAAATTAGTGCTAATGTGTAAATTTTTCATATACCTGGCCTGTTGTTCATTTTATGTCTTCCTTGGGGAAATGCCTATTTGTTCTTTGCCCCATTCTTTTATGTGTTTTTTCGTTGTTGTTGAAATTTGTAAGTTCTTTATATATCCTGCATAGTAGTCTTTGGTCAGACATATGGAGACAAATATTTCTCCCATTCAGGATGCCTTTTTGTTTTGATAAGAGTTTATTTTACTGTACAGACACTTGCTAATTTGGTATAATATAAATGAATATAAATCAGTAATCTGTCAGTTACAGTACTAACAAAAGATAACTTGTGGTGCAGGGAATAAAAATTTTTATATTGCTAGAGGGGACTAAGTTGGACTAATTAATTGCTGATTATAATTAC